TGAGGCTCACTAGAGATGGATTATATGAAAGAGAACTTGAGTATTTCCTGACTACGTGTCAAATGCTTGGTAGCCATGTCTTTGTGATGCACAAAAAAATTCCAAGAGAAAGAGTACTTATTGAAAAACTTAACAAATTAACTTCTTTCACTTTTCTTTGCATTTCTTTTTGAAATGAACACAAAATCTCCTTCTCTAGATTGTGGATGGTTGGTACATGGGTGGACATGGGTGAAAATGATGAAGGGCTGGTATTTCTCAGTCATGATATTTCCTATCCTCTTGTGGCTGCTTCAGGAAGGAAATGTTGAATCTCATTAACATTAGAATACTGATATACAGGTGGAAATACTCAAAAGGATTATATTTTACTGTGACATCAAAGATAGAGATGTGTAAATAGACTGGAAAATAGCATCAGTTATGAAGGTGAGGAGAAAAATGTTTTCTAGGAGGTCAAATTCGGAAGATCTAAAATGGCAGTTAACATATCTGTAGATGGCATGGGACATATGGTAGGACCTAGATGGAATGCACATTGGTATTCACGACGCAATAAATGATGATAGACCCAACAGCCATGATGTTACTAACTGCAGAGTGTACCTGATCACTTTACAAAACTGCAAGCAAATTTATGTAAATTTAAGCATTTTGGAAGCATGGGGAGTGTCTAACAGTGAATTATGATGTATGGTATTGATAGACTTACTTTCTTGAGTCAACTAAAGATAGGACCTTGAACCCCACTTGTAATTTTTAAGTTCTAAAATTTTTTTTCTTGGGGTTATGACCCAATGAGTCTTTCCTTTGGTTCCAAAGGATGAAGGTTTGTGCTCTGGATTGGAGTTGTTGCTCATTATTCTTTCTAAGAATTTCACTATGAAAATGAGTACAGTGCTATTTAATGCATATTCAGGAGGTCTTCCATCTATGTACCAGTAGAGAGTAGGAAAATAAACAACTATTATCATTTTCTTTCAAATTTACCATTCCTAAAAGATGCCTACTGGTTCAGCTTTATTTTAGAGTCAGAGTTAAATGTTAAGACAAACCATGAACATGGGCAATGTAGTAATAAAATAGATTTTCTAAAAATTAAGTTTCCCCTTTCAAGATTTCTTACTAACTGTCCTAAGGTAATATATTAGTTATTTAATTAATTATTGAATATTTTAATCAAAGTGAAATTTTAGACAATATGTTTTGAGGAGAGAGAGAATTTGGTTCAACTTTCAACTCTGCCTTTTATATCATGCGAAAATGTAGAAGTTCTTGAGAGTCAAAAATCATTGTTTTTAAGAAGTACATTTTCTAATTCAAAGATTATTGATTATTTCTGGAATTGGTTATTCACATTTGACATGGATTTAAACTCAGAGTACTTTCTGATTGAATTCTTGATTCCTGTCCTTACGGTTCCAGCAAGTGGATGTGAGCACTGAGGATTATTCATCTTGGGGGGTTTATTGCTGCAATGCCTCCAAAATATTTGTCATTTAGGACTTTTTTGTTTTTATTCACATATAGTTGAGAACATATTATATCACATAAAAGAACACAATAATCTTTATTTTAATATTTTACTATTATATATTGATTACACATAACAATGAGTTTTTTAATCTGATTGCCCAACAAATATATAATTTTTTGATGATACTCAACTCCCTCGCTGCCTGTCATCTTTCATTTCTTTCCAACTCGTTTTATTCTCAATTAATCTTTTTTTCTGTGTTTGAGTTATTTAATTGTGTTTGTATGATTGTGTAAGTTTCTTTAGACTTGCTTATAAAAGTGCCAGTGGAAATTCCAATTCAGGAGTGTGTACCTCATCAGTAGGTCCAATGCCGAAGAGCAGACTCTATTGTCTGTCAACCTTTGGCCAGGAAACCTTAGGAGTGATGGGAACTTGTAAGGCTCATCTGCTTACATGACAGGGTGTCAGAAGGCTCATATTTGTGGAGATTTTGTGGAAATCACCTTTTCATAAAACTCTTCCAAAATATCTGCTTATTTTCCTTCTTGAACAAGAAAATTTGTTCACTTGGGAGCCAGTGATTCTCTTTCAGGAAGCACAAAACAAAACAAAATGAAAACCTGTGAGTTATATGCTCTACATTTTATAAGTTGTTTTTTTTTTTTTTGTAATTTAAAGCATTTTGAATATATTATCTCTGAAAGATATCAGTCTTATGGATTTGTTACTAATGAAAAATAAAGCTTGATTACAATCACAGATATATACAAACCAGCAATGAAGAAGCATATTAGATATAATTGGCAGGACAATTGACTGACCTTTTCATAACCCTTAACAGCAGTCAACATGTGCTGGCTTTGAGTTGTCTTATTTAATACCGAAATCAAGGGGAAGTAATCACTTCAGGGTCCTCCTCCTTACACCCTGTTTGCTTATGTTTGGGCAATCTGAAAGTTGTAATTTCTTTGTTTATTTCCTGTATGGACTAAGTATTAATAAGAATAAACTATGCACACCAGACATAGAGGTGCAAAGACAGAAGTAAGTAGATCCCTCTGAACTGTAGGCCAATCTGTGTTCATGGCAAGTTCTAGACCAGCCAGGGAGAAATAAAGAGGCCCTGCTTCCCCATGAAAAGAGACTAAAATATATTTAAATTATAGGAAAACGTAAATAAATTATCAAAGGAAAATAGAGGGCATAATTTTGGCTTACATTTCTGTAGCTCTATACTTCACACGTAGGCAACAAAGAATATTGGCAGAAGTGGATGGGACACAGTCAGGAGAAGACCCACTCATCTCCATAAACTTCCTCAACCTCAAGATCATTTATGGGATTTAGATATTTTCTGTAACACTTTTGTTCAAATGTTCTTATGGTTGTGTGCAGCGGGTTTTATGCTTATCATTATATTAATGGAAAACCCGACCTAAGGTTTTCTTCTCATACAATTTTTTAGCTAAGTTCCAAATAACTGAAGCTATGGCTTATTTTTGCACGGAACTGTGCTAAACTAATGCATGCCTTTCTAAAGATCAAGTCTGGAAGATGCATATAAAGTTATTGATCTTAGCAGTCAGTGGCAAGTGAAACTGAACTGTAGAACACTAAAAGGACTCGACTTATCTCTCAAACGAAAATGCCTAGTAAGAGCAGTTGAGACAAACTATTTGAAAACTTTGCTCTTAGGCTAATGAGTTGTTTTCATATTTGAATTTTAAAAGAAAGAACTCCTGGAATGTTTGAAAAGGGCTCCTGTGTTTGCTCCAAAAAGGGCTGACATCAGAATAGAGTCTCTGGCTCACCTAAAAAATAATACTTTGTAAACTGTTTCATAGGAAACAGACACTCTCCTTGTAAGAATCAGTAGCTTCTTTGCTATGTAATATTACTTTAAGTATAATCTGTGATGACCTGGTCATTCTGGTTTCTAAAGTATTTCAAAACATTAGTAACTAGTACTTTCCTCCTTTCTAAAAGTTCCTTGACTCAGTGAAACATCCTTCATCAAACAAAAATAAATTCAGTTCATTATTGTAAGTTATATGAGTCAATGGCCAATTGTCTATGTAGGTCATATTTTCAGTGTAGATCCTTGACCCAAAGTAAATAAATAAATAAATAAATAAATAAATAAATAAATAAATAAATAAATAAATAGATTTCCCTAGTAGTGATGAACTGTTTAAATACTTAAATCAACTAGATTAAAAAAAAACATACTAGAAAAATACTTTAAAGTATAAGCAAATTACATTGGCTTAGGGACCAGAGGATTTAGTTCATAGAATGATAGAACATTGTGATTGCAGAGAGAAATTAATACTTAGGACATTAGTAGTACTTCAGTATTATTGCTGATTTGTTATGATTTTCTGTGTCTCCAAAATTACTATAGTCAGCGATATTATAACGAAAAGAAACATAGACCCAGAACCTGTTTTGTAATGATTATTATTATGTTAAAAGTAATTAATAAAAACAAAATCACTGAAACTGAAATACAGTAATGTTAACTTGCATTTAAAGCTTTCAAAAACTATAAATTAACATACCTATCAAGGACATCACAGAAGCACAAGTGGACAAAATTAGGGAAGTTTGAAGATCAGACAAAGATCACAAACAGATTCCTTTTTTATGTTTCTCACCTCATCAGCTTGTTACCGTGATGCATTTTGGAATCAGCTGACTTCTGTGAACAAATATTAAGATGCTTATTTGTCATCATTTACAACACAATGACAATTAAGATTCCAGGAAGAAATCAACCAATACTGGAAGAGTGATTCTGGTTCAAAACCAAGGTTTGAACAGATATATCCACCTCCTGGCAATTTAAAATTCCATTTAAAAAAAGCAAGGTACCACAATAAAGCCCAAGAGATTTTGAAAAATAAGGAGGATTGAGATTGTGGAAAAGTTAGAGAATTATCTTTCATGGATAAAACAAAAACAAACCTTCAAGAAAATAAAACCCCCCAATAAACAACAACAACAAAAACAAAACAAAACAAAAACCAACAAAACAAAAACCAACAAAACAAAGGGCATGGCATGTGACACACAAGGTAAGTTCACAGTTCAGAACTAGACTATAAAGATTCACTGTAATCACAAGTTAAAGTAACTCTTGGCTGAAGCAATTACTTGGAACTTACAATATGTTTTTAAGCTTTGAAACACAATAGGTTTCATAACTGGTAAAACTCTGAAACAGATGCTTGACTATCGTGAGGGGATTTTTTAGAAACCTCCAGAAGGTCAGACTCTTCACACAGTGCTTGAGGGCTTCCAGTCAGAAACTCAGCGTGGTCTTTTGTCAGCAAAACAAATGGCCCTGGCTGAGTTGCAGGATGGGATGGTTTTTGAACCACTCGTGTTTGCTCTTCTCTTACCACATCCTTTCTTTGCTCCTAGATCAAAGCCCTCTGGGAGTGAACTCTGTAGTTCTGCAGAATACATGTTTCAAACAAAATCAACAAGCAAGCTCTGTATTAAAACAACAAGGAGACTGAATCCTGCTCCAGGGGCAGTGGCAGCAGATGGAGTGAGGGTCGTGGTGGGGGATCTCAGAGAGAATGAAATTTCAGGTAAGGATCTCAAAAGCAGTAGTGAATTAATTTAAGGGGCAATAGTAATGTGACCTGAACAAGTATCAGGTGTGTCAGTAAGGATAATCTGCAAGGGAATTAATGAAAGTAATCAACAACTGAAAGCATTTGGAGAACTGAGCTATCAACCTCTTTGTTCCCCAGCCTCCAAGAGAAGAGGTCTACCTGGATTCCCAGGGTTAAGTGAAGGGCAGCTCTAAGCAGTGTTACCTTATTTATTTGTTTTCCAGAAAATACTTCATCTGAGACAAATCTCATTTATTTTTCACATGGGTAAACAACCATGCTCTCAGAATTTGAAAACCATATGCCTAGAATCTGTTTCAGTCACTTCATAATTTTTTTCATTCTTTAAATATATATATAAAGGCTATATTTATATATATTCTTTCATATAACAATTCCTGACCACAGTTTCTCCTCTCTCCACTCTTCCCAGTCCCTGCCCACACCAACTTCTCTTCTCCCCTAGATCCACAGTTCCACTGCTCTGATTCTGTGGGCAATATTCTGGTCTTTCTTTCTTTCTTTCTTTCTTTCTTTCTTTCTTTCTTTCTTTCTTTCTTTCTTTCTTTCTTTCTTTCTCTTCCTTCCTTCCTTTCTTTCTTTTTCTTTTTTTCTTTCTTTTCTTATTTCTATTTATAATTTATTCACTCTGTATCCTAGCTATAGCCCCCTCCCTCATCTCTTTCCAGTCCTACCCTCCCTCTCTCTTCTCCTACTATGTCTTCCCTTAGTCCACTGATAAAGGAGGACTTCCTTCTCTTCTAGCTGACCTTAGCTGGCTGTATTGTCTTCCTCTGTGGCCTGGCAAGGCTGTACCCTCCAGAGGGAGGTACTCAAAGAGACAGCCACTGAGTTTATGCCAGAGACAGATCCTAGGGTACCCACTTGGAGACTGAATCTATGGGCTACATCTGAGCAGGGGTTCTAGGTTATATCTATGAATAGTGCTTGTCTGGAGTATCAGTCTCAGAAAAGACTCTTGTGCCCAGATTATTTCAGTTCTGTTGCTCTCCTTGTGCAGCTCCTGTCTCCTCAGATTTTCTATCTCCCTCTTGTTTCACAAGATTCCCTGCACTCTGCCCAAAATTTGGCTATAAGCTTCAGCATCTGCTTTGATACACTGCTGGGTAGAGTCTTTCAGAGGTCCTCTGTGGTAGGCTCCTGTCCTATTTCCTGTTTTCTCCCTTTTCTGATGTCTGTCTTGTTTGCCTTTCTGAATGAGGATTGATCATCTTACCCAGGGTCCTCCTTCTTGCTTAGCTTCTTTAGGTGTACAGATTTTAGTATGTTTATCCTATATTATATGGCTAATATCCACTTATAAGTGACTGTATACCATGCCTGTATTTATGTTTCTGGATTATTTTACTCAGGATGATCTTTTCTAGTCCCATTAATTTGTCTGCAAATTTCATGATTTCCTTGTACTTAATAGCTGAGTAGTATTCCATTGTGTAAATGCACCACAATTTCTGTATCCATTCCTCCGTTGAGGGACATCTGGGTTGTTTCCTGATTCTGGCTATAATGAACAGAGCTGCTGTGAACATGGTTGAGCAAATGTCCTTGTGGTATAGTTGAGTTTATTTTGGATATATGCCTAGGAGTGGTATACCTGGATCTTGAGGTAGCACTATTCCTAATTGTCTGAGAAAGCACCAGATTGATTTTCAAAGTGGTTGTACAAGTTTACATTCCCACCAGCAATGGAGGAGGGTTCCCCTTTCTCCACATCCTCTCCAGCATGCAGACACTTAAATTTTAAAGAATGTGATTTTATGAAAAATATAACCACATTCTGATAAGCCAGATAACAGAAGTATAGAGTGTTTGTTATGCCCGAATGGAGAGGTTTCCAAAGACCACCCAGAGTCTGATTCACCTGTGCAAAAGGAAAAGAGCCTCTGTTTGGTGATCCCAGACTGCACCAGCACAGTGGCTCACTACCAAAATCCTCAGCAGCAGTTATGCAGGGTTTTTATTGAGGTATAAGCAAGGAATGGGAATTTCCAGACTGGCAGTTACATGATTGGGTATCACTTAGCAAAAGCAGGCTTGTTACAAAGTTATTGGCTAACTAACATTGAACAAGCTATCTATAGACCTCAGGAATGTTAGGTTCTTTCCTGTTACCCCCTGATTGGCTTTGTCCAGGGGCATTTTCTGCCCCAGGGCAGTTTGTAGCTTTTCCAGTAACTGCCTAAGTGTTTTGTTTTTGGGGAAACAGAAACTCAGGCCTACCCTTTCTGGGGAGAATCTGAGACCTATCATGGAGACTGTTAGGCATCCTTAAATCTTGGGCCTTTCATAGAGCATATTAAAACTGTTGATGTAGATTGGATCAAGTAGTCTATACCAATTTCCTACTCCAAGCAATATTCCCTCCGAAGCACTCTCACTGTAAAAGTACAGGAATCTATTTTGTCTAATTAGGTCAGGATTACAAGTTAGTTGATGATACAGACATTTAGACTCCTAATGAGCTGAGATTACAGCAGACTTCAGGAGTTTTTGTTCTTCTTATTTCTCATCATACAGGTTTTCTCTCTGCCGTTTCCATATTAAGTGCAAACACTCAGAGATGATTGTAGAATATTTCCAATATTTATCTGTTTTACAGAGATCAAGCGATATATGTCTTTGGGCATATTTACTAGTTCTTAAAAATTAAAAAACAACAGCTGTTAACCTAAGTTCACGAACCGCAAAAGACCAGGAATAAATAGATTCTTCTGTAAATACATGAGGTTTTTTAATTGTATATGAGTTCAAACACGGGACGCAAACCTCCTGTGGAAACTGGAGAGGAATGTGTGCCCCGAGGTCTAGGGGTACAGAGTTTTTAAGGGAAAAAACAAAAACAAAAACAAAAAAACAACACACAAGTAGTGACTTAACATGCTTTGGCATTACATGATTGGGTAAGGGAAACTGACTTTTGAAATGATTGGTCCACTTTAGTGGCCAAGACTACAAACAGTTCGGGCCTGCTCATATGGGCCATTTTCCTAGCAACTGTATAATTAATGGGCAGGGAAAGAATGCAGTAAGGCTAGTACCTCCCCTCAGGGAATTACTGGATGTGTCTCCACCTAGCTAGCCTTTAAAACAATACCCACTGATTTTAAGTCTTTGGTCTCTCACAACAACAACAAAAAACTAAGAACTTAACTTGCTCCAATGTTTTTTTCATGGAATAACTATAATAAAAATAAGTGTATCTGCTTTATATTCAGACAAGTTTTCAATTGGTAACAAATATTTCTTTAAAATTACTTTTGCAGAATTATAATTTATTACTATAGTTTGCTTTCTTTTTTCTTTTTCAGCAAAAAAAAGATGCATTTAAAAACCATGGCTTTTGTTTCCCTTTGTAAAGCAGTGACATATTTAAGTAAGTAGATTGTATGTTACATATGTTCAGAGAAAAGTAAAGAGGAGACAATCATCTTTATGGGTCATCATGTGTAACCTTACTAAACAGTAATATGTTATCTTAAAATACTACATTTTAATGGAATCCAAAGGAAAACAACGAATTCAAATACAAAGTGCAGTTTGAAGTAAGTGGAGAAAATTATATTTCCTCAAGATTAGAAAATCTTAATTTGTTTTTTAATTATGTACTACTTAATGTTACATAAATAATGATAAAATCTACTATTAACAACTCTTACCTAATTTTCCAGAGGTGTATGTTTAGAAACAAATTGTAACTACTCTCAATAGTAACCAAAGAGCTTTATGCTTCACAATTCTGTGTGTATGTTATACCCTATAGTAAGCTCACGAGTAACCAATATTTGTAATGCACAATGAAATCAGAAGTCGATTTCTGTCATTGCCCATTGAATGACATTTATAATATGCTACTACTTATTACATATTCAAATCTGGACCTCTCAACTTTATAATTAGACCTTCAAGTCTTAAGAACATAAAATATTTGCTATTCATTTCCCATAAATACCCAAGACTTTGCCAATCTAATTATACCTGCACTGAGATGTTGCCTTAGGGTCACTGGAGGACAGCCAACATGCCACATAATTCTGGTCTTGGAACAACCTTGGGAGGCACTTTTGTCCTGTTTGCCATCTTATAGGCATTTCTACTCTAAAAAACAGTGAATATTTTCTGTTTCTCCTAGCACCTTTTTTCTTTTCATGCAAATTATAACCTTCATTAGACTCTGTGTCATACATACATTTCTATACCACCAAACTACTCACCTTCTAAATTCACCTTACTCTCAAAATATAGACCAGCCATAATTAACTTTAGGTTCATCAAAGTGAACAAATATAATAGATATATAGACTCAGTATGTGGAATATTTAATAACAGGGATAAAATCAGTTTTGCAGATGAGGCACTAAATGAATCAGTGACAGTTAAGTTAACGAATATGGCTATGTTGGTGCACACCAATTAGCTTGAAAACATACAAGTTCACACAAAATCAAGAGGATTGGAAGAAATCATTTTTAAAACCTGAGCTGGTTTCCTAGAGCATCTGTATCCAATTGTCCTGAGTTTAATTATGTAAAGTAGCAGGTGTCCTGCCCAGAACTGGAGGCTGAATGTCCACACTCACATTGTTGGTAGATTCTGATTCATTCTAGAAATGGTTGAGCAATCTCTCTTCTTCCTTACCAACCTCTAGTAAAAACTCACAAGTCTGAAAATTGATTGCCAATATCATAATTCCCACATTTGTTTCCTCCCCTTTTTTCTTCTTCCTTCTTTCCTTCCTTCCTTCTTCCTCTTTCTTTCTTTCTTTCTTTCTTTCTTTCTTTCTTTCTTTCTTTCTTTTCTTTCTCTCTTTATTTCTCTCTTTCTTTCTTTCTTTCTCTCTCACTTTCTTTCTTTTTTGTCTTTCAAAATGTCACTAGCCATTGGCTTAAGGCACATTATAAATCGAGGATGATATCAACTTGAGATCTTTCACTTAATGTCACCTTTAAATTCTC